CGCTGTGGAGCAGTGGAAGGACGCAGAGTCATATAGTGTGTGCCAGGGACAGGTGGAGGACGCTCACGCGGAACACGGCGACCAGTGCGAGCAGCACGAACAGGTGACACAGGACGAGACACAGGCGACACAGGACGAGACTCAGGCTCACGACGCTCTGTAAGACCGCCTGTCGGACCAGTGTAGGGAGAAGGACCAGGAAGTGGCGAGGCAGGGGGTAGCTGTGACTGCGACTGGACAGGTGGAGGACACTCTAAGGAGGGAGGAGGACTAGGAGGAGGCGGCTGACCAAGAACCTGCTGAAGGAGCGGAACGAAGTACGGCCGCGGCCGTAAAGTGCCCCCAGCAGCAGCAGAGACAGCACCAGAACCTCCAGCAGCTCTAGCAGAACCTCCAGCAGCTCCAGCAGCACCTCCAGCACCTCCAGCAGTACCTCCAGCAGCTCCAGCAGCACCTCCAGCACCTCCAGCAGTACCTCCAGTAGCTCCAGTACCTCCAGCAGCACCAGCAGCACCTCCAGTAGCTTCAGGACCTCCAGCAGCTCCAACACCTCCAGCAGCACCAGCAGCACCAGCAGCACCAGCAGGAGCTCCACTCCGGAGGCTGCAGCGCCGAGCGTACCACTCACGCAGCCGCTGTGAAGAAGGAGCGCCAGCAGGCGCAGTACGGTCAGTCCCAAAGCCCCCAGCCTCAGCACCTCTAGGCGCAACACCCCCAGTCGCAGTACCTCCAGGCTCAGCACCCGTAGTCTCCGCACCCCCAGTCTCAGCACCCCCAGTCTCAGCACCCTCAGTCTCAGCACCCCCAGGCTCAGCGCCCCCAGAACCAGCACCCCCAGGCTCAGCGCCCCCAGACCCAGCACCTCGCACAAGACCAGAGTCAACAGCTACCTCAACAGGCTCGACCGGGTCTACCTGGGAAACACCTGAGGGAGCAGGACCCTGGGGAGGGAGGGGGTCTACCGAAGCAGCACCTGGCGTGAGGAAGAGCGGCGGAGGGGGGAGCGGGGCAGTGCGGTAGGGGAAGAGACGGTAAAAGGGTACCGACTCGTCAAAGGTGACGTCCTGAGAGGCGAAGACCCGGCGCGAGGTGGGGTGGTAAAACTGCCAGCCAGGCGCGTCAGGGACAAAGCCAAGGAAGACACAGGGAACGGCACGGGAGGAGAGCTTGTCCGCGGACGTATCGCGGACAAAGGCTCGACATCCCCAGACTCGGAACACCGACGCATCGCCAACCTCCCCCGTCCAACGCAGGGTAGGCGAGGTCTCCGGAACAGAGACACGGGGCCAGAGGTTGAGCTGATGCGCGGCGTACTGCACTGCAAACGGCCACAGGAAATGGGGGGCAGCCGCATGGATCATGGAGGTACGAGCGACCTCCATGACAAGACCAATGCGGCGCTCAGCAATCCCATTCTGTTGTGGAGAGGCCGGGAGCGTGAACGACAGGGTGATGCCGTGCTCCGCACAGTAGGCTGCCAAGAGGTCAGAGGAAAACTCGCCACCTCTGTCAGAGTGCAGACGCAGGACTGGAAAGTCTGACTGGAACCGCTGGCGGAGCTGGAGACGAGCAGCGCGGATCCAGGGGATCAAGACATCAGGGACCTCACCCTTGGTACGCAAGGGGAAGACCGTGGTGTAGCGCGTGTAGTCGTCGACGACCAGCAGAAAGTATCGCTCGTGGCCCTGTCCCCGGACGCGGACGGGGCCCCACACGTCCAGGTGGAGAGTCTGCAGGGGAGCCTCTGTGGGAGGGAACGAGGAGGAGTGAGGAGCGGCGCGCTGCCGCCCCTCGACACAGGGAAGACAAGGAGGAGCAGGCGAGGGTGGGAGGGGAGGGAGAACCCTGGGAAGACCAGAGACAAGGTACCTGGAGTGCATGCCGCGAAGGCGTTGCACTGACGGGTGACCAAGGCGGTGGTGCCAGAGGACAGTCCTGTGTGACAGGGAGCGACACGAGCAGGGGGCCGACAGCTGACCTGACGCAGACGCAGACGCAGACGCAGCTACCTGAGGGGACTCAGTGGTCAGTGTGTACAAGTCCGACCCCGGCTGCCGAGTGAAGGTAGCGAGGTGACGACCCGTCCGCGCACACGTGCAGTGCGTCACACGCTCGTAGGCCGGGGTGAACTGGTGAACACCCGCGTCCTGGAGCGCGGAACCCGCCACCAAGTTCGTAGAGAACGAGGGGAGGTAGAGGCCCGACAGCGTGCCAGACGGGACAGCAGGACAAGGGAGGGCAGTGGTGGAGGTCGCAAGGACCGGACCCCCTGAGGGGTCAGCCAGGGAGACAGAAACCGGCCGAGGAAGCTGCTCCAGGGCAGTGCGGTCGCGGAAGAAACAGCGGGAAGCACCGGAGTCCAGTGTGAAGGTGTGCAGTGCCTCAGTAGGTGCGGTACCAGCAAACGTAGACGCACTAGCACCTAGGGCAGCAGCCTCACCAGGACCTAGAGCAGCAGACGCACTAGCACCTAGAGCTGCAGCCTCACTGGTCCCAATGCCCGGGTCGGGCGGTACACTCAGGTAACAGTCACCCTCAGCACTAATAGTCAATGCATACATAGCAGCAAGGATAGCATCATAATCAAGAGCAAAGATATCAATCCCCTTCCTAAGCAGATCAGCCCAGCGGGGCAGCTCAGAGGCGTCAGGGAACTGCTCGCGCCAGGCGTCGTCAAGGCGAAAGAAGCAGCGCTGCGCCGTGTGAAACTTCCCACAAGTCTGGCCAGTGCGGTCACCTGTGCGGATGACATACGGGCAGGTACCCCCTCCCCCAGACCCCCCACGCTGAGAGTACCACTCACGGAGTTGCTGGGGCGAGGGAGTCTCGCCGGGGCGCTGCTGCTGCTGCCTCTGGCCACCGCCAAACCCCCCACGCTGCACCGCTCCACCGCGCCCGCCACCCGCTCCACCGCCGCCACCACTGCCACCACCACCTCCACCACCCCCTCCACCGCCGCCGCCGCCACCACCCCCTGTGCCGCCACTGACCCCCCCACCACCCGCGCCACTCCCACTCCCGCCACCACCCCCGCCCCCCCCACCTCCTCCACCGCCGCTGCCCCCACCTCCACCTCCACCACCCCTGCCCCCCTTGCCCCTGCCGCCCTTGCGTCTCCCACTAGGAGCAGACGCGGCCCCGACCCCCTCAGCTCCGAGGTAGTCGACAGCAGCAGCAGATGCAATGGAGGGGAGGAGGGGGGAGGGGGAGCACCCCTCAAAGAAGGGGGTGCGGGGGTCACCGCGAGAGGCACCTACAGCTACAATGCTCTTCTCAGCTGCTAGGAGCTCATTCTCGAGGAGGTCGACAGTGAGATCAGTGGGGGAGAGGGCGAGAAACTGGTCCCTGACAGTGCGAAGGGAGTCAGGGAGGCGGGTGACAAGGTGGTACAGTGTGAGGTACATCGGGGGGGGGTTCTTGGCGAGGAAATCGGGGGGGAGCGCGGCACGGTAGCGGAGGTCACTGGTACGGAGGTGGGTGATGAGGTCAGCTACAGTGGCAAAGGCGGACAGGTCGGGGAAGAGGTAGGGCAGTGAGAGACGGCCTATAGCAGCAGTGGCAGGGGAGGAGTAGCGCGCGACTACTGCGTCGTAGAGCTCCTTGGCGGTCTTATGCTGTCCGAAGTGCTCGCGCTCATCTAACGGTAGGTGACTGCGAACGGCTAGGCGAGCGTGAGCATCACGGGTCTGCCACTGGGAGCGAGCAGTGCTGTCAGCAGTAGCGGGAGGTGCGGGAGCAGCGCTGGACGTGTGGTCATAGAGGGAAACATCGTCCTTGGCAGTGATCTGGAGGTACAGGTGCAGGTCATCAAGCCAGACATCGAACTTAATCGGGCGGCCCTCGGCGTCAAAGGTGAGAACAGTGGGACTGGCCATAGTGGCAGTAGCAGGTAGCAGTAGTAGCAGTAGCAGCAGTAGCAGTAGCAACAGCAGTAGCAGAAGCAACAGTAGTAGCAGTAGGAGCAGGTAGGGCGGCGCGACTCGGTCAGGGCGGCGCGGCTCGGGCGGCGCGACTCGGGCGGCGCGGCTCAGGTGGGTAGGGCGGCGCGACGCCGGGCCTATGCTCGGTGCGTGGCGGCTCCTAGGGTGCGGCTGCGCGCGGGCCGCGGCTGCGTCTAGCGGCGGTTAAGCGCGCGGGCCGCGGCTGCATTCTAGCGCGGGCTGCAGCAGCCGGCGCGCGACCGCCGCGGGGCCTACGGGCGGGCGGCTGTGGGTCGCGCGTCGGCCTAGGGGCTAGCGGGGCCTACGGGCGACGGCCTGCTGGGGCTCGCGAGAAAAAATCGAGCCGCCCTAGGCGGCGGTTTTCCTACGCGCGCTAAAACGGCGGGGCCACGCTCGGGCTGCTAGCGGGCTGCACACGGGCATCGTGAGAGGAGAGCGCACGAGGGCGCACGAGAGGAGAGGCGCACGAGGGCGCTAAAAAAAAGAGGGCGCACGAGGGCACCACTAGCGGAACGGTGGGCCCTTAGGTCTAGAACCTATAGCTCTTAATACCATGTTAGAAACAAGAAGTGTGTGAACTATGAAAAGTTGGAGTACAAGTAGCAAACCCTAGTTTTGTGTACCCCCTAAAGGCTAACCCACTATAGCCTACACAACAACAACACATATAGTGTTTGACAGTTCCCACGTGCACGAAGGTGAATGCCTTCTTCTGTAGCTGCTCCTGTACCCAATGGTACCGCACGTTCATGTGTTTCGTGCGCCCATGCCAGTTGTCGTTTCGTGCGAGGTCAATTGCCGATTTGCTGTCCGATTTGATCGTTGTAGGTCCGTCCACGTTGACCCCCATCTCCTGAAGTAGACGCCTCAGCCACACACCTTCTTGGCATGCATAAAACAGCGCCATGTATTCAGACTCCGTGGTGGACAGAGCGACGTCGGTGAGCTTCTTGGCTTGCCACATGATTGCCGTTCCACCAAGGAGGTAGACATAGCCATAGGCTCCCCTCCCATCAATCTTGTCTGATCCGTGTGAGGCATCAGCATACCCCACTAGCTCTAGGCTCTCCTCTCCACCTTCAAACAGCAGCCCCTCCTCGTCCCGCTGCAGGAGGTAAGTGATAGTCCGCTCCATTTCCTTCCACTTGCGTCCCTCGGGCTGCAACACCCTCTGTCCAAGAAAGCTTGCAGCATAGGCCACATCAACCCGTGTGCATGACACCGGGTACATGACTGAGCCTACCATGGATTGGTAAGCTTTGAGCGCTCTCTCCCTGTTGCCCCATGCCTCAATCTCTGCTCCCACATCGACCTCCTTGTCCGCAAGGCCGCTGAGAGGTGTTGTCACTGGTTTGGTCTTGCATTGACCTCCAAACCTCTCCCGCAACCTTTGAAAGTACTTCTTCTGGTATAGCAGCAACTTCTTCTGCTCCTTGTTCCTCTCTAGGTTCATTCCAAGGAAGAGAGTGGTCCTTGGAATCTTCTTCACCTGAAATACAGCTGCGAGGTGAGTGCACACCTCCTCCACCTTCTCTTCCTTCACTCCAGCCACTAGAATATCATCCACGTAGAGGAGTAGGAACACCTTGTTCTCCCCCTCTCCCTTCCAATAGAATGCCCGGTCACATTGGCTCTTGACGAACCCCCCTTTTTCCAGCTGCGCATCCATAGCTAGGTACCACTCCCGTGGGCTTTGTTTCAGCCCATAAAGTGCTTTGATGAGTTTGCACTTTCTGTCCGTGCCGTCCTCACACCCCGGTGGCTGATTCATGTAGATAGTCTCCTTCAAAATGCCATAGAGAAAGACATTTTTGATGTCCAGCTGCACCATAAAGTACCCACGTGCCGTTACCACCTTTAGCATGGTCCTTGCCGTTGTTAGCTTGCTAACGGGTGCGTAGAGTTGGTCGTAGTCCTCTCCTTCCACCTGAGTGTAGCCTTTAGCCACAAGACGTGCTTTGAAGCGCTCAAGTTGTCCCATGTCTCCTGTTTTGATCTTGAAAATCCAGCGCACTCCCACTGCTTTCCTCCCTTCCGGCATGTTCACAAGCTCCCATGTCCCCCTTTCGGCCAAGGTATCAAGTTCCTCCTTGATTGCAGCCCTCCATTGCTCCTTGTTCGGTCCGGTCAGTGCCTCTTCAATAGTGAGAGGCTCGGTGGGCAGCTTGTAGCTTTCCACCTTCCCCTTTGATAGAAGTGCCGTTGCCGTAGTGGTAAGGAGGAGGTGGGTATGGATGTCTTTGCAACAGGTAAGAAGCATTTGGGCATACTTGGGGTTGGGTTTCTTGACCCGTTTCCCTTTGCCCATCTCCTCATTCTCATTTTCAGCTCCACCTTTCTCTGCTGCTGCATTATCATCCGCCCCTTGTTGCACAGAATCTTTTTCAACCTCCCTTCCGATGATAATCGCACCATCCGAAAGTAGCTCTTCAATCTCTGCTGCCACCTTTTCATTGTCCCCCGTGTCAATGATGCGCCATGGGTCGGAGTACCCCGTGCTGGCAGATTCAGCCACACTCTCTTCCACATCTGAAATTTCAGCTTCTTCCTCACCGGCTTCATTCGTTGCGTTGTCACCCGCTTCTTCTCCCTTATCATTGTCTTCTTCACCCTCTTCCACAGCAGTTGAAGGTGAGGACAGCTCCTGGACCTCCCACACCCAATCGAAACCCGGTGTAGTGTGGTCTTCGTAGTCGTCATTGTCACCGCTTCCATTGGCTGCCCCTATCCCCTCCTTCTCACTCCCATCTATCATCTCCTCCAGTGGAGTTGGTGCTGCTGCCGCTTCCTTCGCAACAGCTCCATGTTTCCGTCCCTTCCACTCCAAGTAGGTGTCTTGCTCGTAAAAGGTAACATCTCTGGTCGCCGTGACTTTTCCGGTCTCCACATCGCGTATCACCCACCCTTTGCCCTCCGGGCAGATTCCCAAGTGAATCCCCCACTTGGTCCTTGGGAGAAGCTTATGGTCGGGTCCCGTCGCCTCACGGTATTGCACCATGCAGCCCCAAACACGTAAGAACTCCAGATTCGGCTTCCTCTTGTAGAACGCTTCGTGAGGGGTAATATCCGCCGCTAGTCCCTTTGTCGGTAAACGGTTTTTCAGCCAACATGCCATGCCTAGCGCATCTCCCCAGTAGTGAAGAGGCAGATTGCTATCCGCGAGCAAGCTCCTCACACCCTCCAGCAGTGATCGGTTCACTCGCTCCGCAATGCTATTGTGTTGAGGTGTGTACGGGACCGTGAGCTGTCTTCGTATGCCCTTTGACTTCAGGTACGTGTTGAACTCGGCGTTGACGAATTCTCCCCCGTTGTCCGTGCGTAACACCTTCAGCTTCTTGCCGCTTTGCCTTTCCGCTTCCGCTTGCCAATCGAGAAAGTTCGTGAAGACTTGTGACTTGTTCTTGATCTCAGTCACCCACGTGTGTCGTGTGCCAAGGTCGGTGAAGGTAACGAAGTACTTGCTGCCATGTTGTGAAGCCACCCGCATCGGTCCACATACGTCGGCTGCCACAATCGCCAACGTCTCGTATGGCTCACGAACTCCGTGCTTGGGATGTGGTGCCTTCGTTGCCTTTGCTTCCACGCATGTGCTGCACTTCAGATTTTCCTCTCCACCCTCAGCTACCTTCACTCCCGCTGCCATGTTCTTCTTGATCAGCTCCTTAATTCGATAATGACCAGCGTGCCCCATCCTCCTATGCAGCAGGTTGACGTCCACCGTGCTCACTGCTGCTGCCATAGGAAGCGCCTGCTGCTGCAGCTCTTTAATCGGTACCTTTTCCAGCTTGGTGCGGAGCTCCTCTCGTGCTACCTTTCCCGCTTCCGGTTCAGCCAGGTACGTGGTCTTCTCCCCACTCTGTTTCTCGTGAAGCTTCATCTCGTACAACCCCTGCTTGCGTGATCCCTCCGCTATCACCTTCCAATCCGAACCGAACACCCATATGCTGCCCTTGTCACTGAAGGTCTTGCACCCACCACTGTCTAACTGCGATTGGCTTATGAGGTTGAGTGTGAGCTTGTCCACCAGCAGCACGTTGTCCAGCTTCACCTCACCATAAGCACTTTGCAGCACTAGATCTCCTTCCCCTTTCACAGGAAGTTTCCCCTCGTCTCCCAACAGCACGTACAGGATCGGTGATGCTCTGAAATTTTGCAGCCACTCCTTCCGGTTCGTCATGTGTTGGGTACATCCGCTGTCCATGTACCACTCCTTGCCTTTGAGGCCCTTTGCGAGCAGGCATGCTCCGATGCTCTTGCAACATTGGCCTTGTGGGCTCCACCGAGGATGACGTCGTCGTCGCTCGTTTCCGCTTCGGTGGCGTTGATCTTCGCAGGTACGTGATTCCTTTGCTGCTGCTGCCCTCCCTTGAAGCTCTTGCTCATCGGGTTGCTGTAGCAGTCGATTGCCTTATGACCAAATTTCCCGCAGTGGTTGCAGTTTCCAGCAAATCCACCTCTCGGCCTCTGTCCTTCTTCGGTTGCTCCTGCTCCCTTTCCTCTGAAATTCTTGCTTCTTGGGTTGGAGTAACACTCGGCAGCCTTGTGCCCTTTCTTCCCACAGTGGAAGCAAACTCCGAATGATTTTCCTGCCCCAGTTGCGTTCAACATGGCATGTTTGTTGTTGCTGAAGTTGTCCGGCAGCGCCTCCCTTCGCTCTTCCTCAGCACGTATCAGCGCAACGTCTTGAAGGGACTCCACCAGGTCCGTCATGTCTGTAGGGCGTCTGCAGGCCAGCATCCGCTTCTCTGCTGCCCATGATTTCGATAGGCCGCCAATGATGTAGCTCATCATTTGCTTCTCCGATTCGGGCACTCCCATAGCCGTCAGGTTGTCGTTGTAGCCTTTAGCACGGCCCACGTAGTCCACCACCGTCTCGGAAGGTTCCATGGCCAGCAATATGAGTTTCGTCCTCACTGCTGTCATCTTTGCCTCGCTTTTCCCGAGGTACACTCGTTCCATGTACGCCCACGCCTTCTCTGCTGCGTTGTCCTCCTCAGAGAACGGGTCGAGTCGTGCTGCGATTGAATCCGAGACCGAATGGCAGAGTTGAAAGAAAGCTTGTTGGCTTCTTTTCTTGAACGTTTTTTTCTCTTGTGCGGTTGCAGGTGCAGGTCCATCTTCCTCCGTCGCTGCCTCTGGGTTGTAGAAATGCCACAAATCTACCTCCCGGGCGCGTCGCATGAACTTCAGCCTCCATGTGCCGTAGATCTCTCCATTGAAGCGTTGAGCTTCACTTAGGCCAATTGTCGGTTTGGCCACGATTTGCCCCTTGGCAAGGGCATCGAGTAGACTCTGCAGCTGCGCACCGTCAGTGTTCACTGAAGACCCTGAACTGGTCTCTCCATCTCCTTTCCCCATGTCGTTGAATATTCGCCTTCTCCAATTACTCTAAAAATTATAACGCCTCCAACGCTTTTATAATGAGGCTCGACGCGACGATAACCAAGCTCTGATACCAGCTCTTAGTTTTGGTATCGCCTCCGGCTAGCGTTGAAGGTAGTAAATGCTTGGAGAGAATTTCTGGTTTTTCAAGACTGATTTCACTCAAAGCAGAGAAGTACAAAGAACTGATTGAAAACAAACACATTTAAGCATTTCGAAATGTGATGTGCGCCTCGCGTAACGCGTCATCCGCGTTTCAGCCCGAGTCGCACGCGGAACCGATTTCGGTAACCGACACCGGAACCGAAACCTGGTTGTCTCATTCGCACCGAACACGGTCCGGTTGCGGTTGGACATTTTAGGTTACGGAAATGTCTTCTCGACATTTCCTGAAACCCACTCTCCCACCATTCCGTTTTTCCCGCTTTCTTCTCGCCTTCCCTCCTTAGCTCCTTAGCATGCAGCCCCACCGTTATAGCTGTCGGTTTTCCTCATTAGGTCGACATTTTCCACCGTTCCTAGTGTCATGCTACCATCCCTAGGTGAAGCGCGTAGGTCGGTAGGCACTAGGGCAGTGGCGAACCACCCTAACAGCAGTGAGGGTGTGAGAGTCAATGAGGCAAAGCAGTGAGGGTGTGAGAGTCAATGAGGCAAAGCAGTGAGGGTGTGAGAGTCAATGAGGCAAAGCAGTGAGGGTGTGAGAGTCAATGAGGCAAAGCAGTGAGGGTGTGAGAGTCAATGAGGCAAAGCAGTGGCAAACCCTAGGCTGATCAAGGCGCAAAGGAAAACTGAGGGGAAGGGGTTGAAATGGATGATTTTTGGACCACAGGTTGCATACGGGCTTGATATATGAGAGTAGACTGAACAAAGCTTTCCAGCAACGAACATGTATAGTAAGATGGAACACCAATAGCGAATACTGCAGGGTACATCCATGGCAGACTTATTTCAGGAGCAACAGCAGTGCAGCAACACGAGACTTATTCTTTTAGGGACTTCAGAACGAGATGGAACTTCCTCTGTATCACACGTAAACATCCCCCTACTGGTACTTCCTCTGCGTCACATACCTGTTCTTCTGCCTGTCCCAGTTACTCTGGATCAGAAACCTCATGTTCTTCATCCCAACCAGATTGTACTCGTACGTTCTGCCTCGGCTGTCCTGACCCTTTCTCGTCGTACCAACCTCCATTGTACACTTGTCCGCATTCTCTGAATTGCTCTCGTCCATCCATCCCGTCACACAATCCGGGTCCGTTGCTGCTTCCGCGATTTCGTGAGCGATGCTGGAAAGCATGAAATCGATGGCAGGGTTACCGTTCGGCGACGGATTTCTCTGCCATTCTGCTGGGCACTGCCCGGGATGTCCCACGAACGACAGTACAACCGGTTTTGACTCGAAGGAGTTCATGCTGTGCCATCCTAGAGATTCGGTACAGAAACCCGGGACGGTGACATCCTTGCTGGTAAGAAGCAGGTAGATGCCATTCGCGTCGTACGGAAACGGCTTCCCAGCTCCCATCTTGCTGGAAATAACTGCGCCAGAAGAGAGGCCTTGAATGGTTAAGATTACGGCAGACATCTGACTTTCTTGAAGGGGCGCAATAAATCATATAGCGACCCTATTTTTAGCTTACTAGCGGGAAACATAGAATGCTGGGAGAGGCGAAGTGGTTCTGTCGTGATGCGTACCTTCCCAAACCGTGCCTTGGTCAAAATCCGTTCCCGCGGAGTAGTTGTCATAGACAGTCCTGGCGAGGCGTGTTGGTGCAACCCTACGGTTTGCACTCGGCTTGTTGTCCGTGTGCGTGAATGTGTGTGTGTATGGAATGGTATGAGGGCATGGGATAATATATATTTCATGCTTATAATTGTGTGTGAATGTTGAGTCATGATGTCGAGTGTGTGTGTCGAGTCAATAGCGAGTTATCGCTAGACGCGTGTTACGCGGTCGTTTGTGTCTCGCGCGCGGTTTCTATTTTGTCGTGCGCGGTTTCTATTTTGTCCTGTGTCGAACGTTCGGCGTGTCGCAGGTGTGTGCAGCAGACCCATCAAGAACTCAAGGATGAGTTTGTGATGAAGAGCCCGAGCCTTGGTGTCAAGCCTCAAGTGATTTCGAAGCTCGCCAAAAGGGTACACCTCAAGATATTGAAGATAGTTACATTACTTTGTGTAGTGTAACATTTCACTTGGTGTAGGCCCTAGTGAAGGGTAGTTTCGAGACCCTTCGTGGTTGGGGACAGTGTGGCACTGTTCCACATCACTGTACCTCGGCTCTTGGGGTTTGTAGGAGCTGGGAGTCATTCCCAACTCGTAGCTCTTCCTATCTTGTGTTCTAAGACTATAGTGGCTGCCATAGTACCGTTCGTTCAAACCAACGCTGTGTCGTCAATTCTTTATCAAATCGTGCAATCTAAATTGCTAATTGTAGACGACGTGAAGACGCTTTAGATCCAATTTGAATCAGGTCATTTGCAGCTGTGAGCAGAACGCTATCAACGTTTGAAGCCGCTGTGCAGAAATCCGTCTGTGCTCTCTATCTTTCGTTTTAGGCACATTCAAGCCTATTGTGACTATAACAAGTGGTATCAGAGCCCTTGGAGCAGTTTCGACAATTGCTGGACCTGAGGAAAGGGGTGGCAGAGGTGCTGGTGGCAGTGGAGAAGCTCAAGCTCAAGGCCAACCCCGTGACTCAGCCATGGCGCCCGTGCAACCAAGTCTTGGCCCACCTAGGGATGAGCCTAGGGTGTTTGGGCTTGACAAGTTCAACGGTGACAACTTTGCTGAATGGTCCTTCAAGATGGAGAACATCTTTGACCACTATGACCTGCTGGAGGTGATGGAAGGAACGGAGAAGCGCCCCGAGAACGACCCGGAGAAGAGCCCGTGGGTGCGGAAGAGCGCACAAGGCTATCTCTTACTTGGGCAAGCGTTGGGGAGCAGTCAGATCCGTCACATCAAGCCATTCCAGCGTGAACCAGAGAAAGGACCAAAGGCATGGGCTGCTCTCAAGGGTGTACATGCTCCTGCAACAGCGGCGGTAGCGGTGGTGTTGGAACGGCAAATGGCGGCACTACGAATTGAAGAAAACGAAGCGGTTGAAGAAGGGGTGCAGAAATTCTTCGACTTGTTGACGCGGCTTGAGGGAGCTGATTTGAACTACAGTGAGCTCCAAAAGAAGACCAAGTTGCTGGCCTTACTCCCAGAGTCATGGTCCTCGCTCATCATCAACCTTAATCGCGACTTGCCCCGCCTCTCGCTTGAAGACGTGAAGCGAGCTATCCTTCAAGAGGATTTCCGCCGCCGTGAGTTGGCGAGTGCGGATGGCGCTGGGGCAGCGAGCATCGGCCGTGGATATGGTCGAGGAAGAGGCAGAGGACGAGGGGGAGGAAGGTTTGGTGGCAGCAACTTCGGCGGAGGCCGCAGGAGTGGCGGTTACGGCAGCGACGACAAGAGCTACGGACGCGGTCGCGGCCGATTCGACGGCGAGTGTCACTATTGCCACAAGAGCGGACACATGTGGCGCGACTGCTACAAACTCCCTGATGGTTGGACCCCTGCTCAAGGCCAAGAGGGTAGAGGAGCAGGAGGAGGGAGAGGACGAGGCCGTGGAGGCCGTGGCGGTCGCGGTGGCGGAGCTGCAAACATGAAGAGCGGAGACAACGACAAGGACCCGAGCGACGATCGATACCCGGGTCTATTCTACTTCGTGTCGACGCAAGTACCGGCTGGTCCAGAGAAGGATGAAGGCTTTGAGGAGCCAGCAGCTGTGGGGAAGGTGACCCTACACCCCTT